TCTTCCTGCTCAGCTGCAGGAGATCATGCTTAAAGTCAAAAGAAAAAAAAAATACACAAACGGGCTGTCAGGACATAATTGGACGTGTGTTTTCCTGTTTTTTCAGCTCTCTCGGACCCTGCAGCGAAGGAGAACTGCATGATGCACCTTCTGCGCTCTCTGCCCGAGCCCAACCTCATGACCTTCCTCACTCTGCTGGAGCACCTGAAAAGGTAAGCAGAAACACTCACACCATCAAATGTGTTTACAATGCAAAGAGACATTTTTTTTATTTTCTATTTTTTTGGAGCTGCATTTGAGTCATAACCCTTATTAACCCTAAAAAAAATTTTCACTACTATCTACTACAGGAATCAGTTTTTAGGGTTATCCGATCCAGTTTTTTCACTGCTAATACCGATACAGATATCTGAGGTGCGATATCAGCTGATAGCGATCCCATACGGAAAAACAACGCTCAATTGGCTTAAAATGTTTCTTTTTTTTAAAATACAGCCGTAAATGTTCAGAATTACGCATTTATTTGATAACACTGTGTGATTTCACAGAACACTTAAATACAGCAATAGCTTCACAAGCTTGGCCAAACATGCAAAATAAATAATAAAAAAAAACCTACTTTGGTCAAAACGTAAAAAAATAAACTGCAACGAACCTTCAAAGTCCAATTGGGAATTCTTAATATAATGTAAAATAAATAATGTTTTATTTATTTTTTATGTTTTGTGCCTAATTCTATTCACAAAGCATAGAATTAAGCTGAATAGATGCGTCTACCCTTATAGATCAGGCACATTGTCACTGATACCCCATCTATAATTTGTTTTTTCCAATATCAGTACCGATACAGGCATTAATATCGGATCGGTGCATGTCAGTTCTTTTTGTTTTTTTACCCCATTCTGCTGTTCCTTTCTGCCTTTAATAAAATATTTCCTGTTTGTTGTTCCTGCAGGGTGGCTGAGAAGGAGCCCATCAACAAGATGTCCCTCCATAACCTGGCCACCGTGTTCGGGCCCACCCTGCTCCGGCCCTCTGAGTCAGAAAGCGCCAAGGGACAGCACATCACGTGCGCCTCCGACATCTGGTCACATGATGTCATGGCACAGGTACACGATTATTAGTGCTGAGCATCATCGTAATGGGAGATGCAAATTCTCACATTTGTACCGGAGCTAGTCCCTGAGTCTCCTGCGGTTTTCCATCGGTCGTCTTTATGATGGACAGTGAGAAAGAGCCGCTTCCTCCGCTGCCGCTGCACATGTTTTCTAGATTAACTCCCACATCGCCCACTGACCCGTCTCAGCGGGCTCCTTTCTCCCAGCTGTATTTAGCTTTTTCACCGTCTATTTATCTCTCCTGACGGACGGGTTTCATGTGAGCAGGTCTTCTCGAAGCTGGATAAACAAGTCTGAGGTAAACATCATAAACCGCGCATCGTGGAAATGCAGGAGGTCTCGGCTGGCTCCTAGTTTGTCCTGAGGATAACTTGTGCTCAAAAACCTTTACTCCAATATTTATTCAATGCATTAAACTTTAAAAAATGCTTCTCAAATCTGTTCCAAAATGTAAATGATATTGCTGTTTTTAAACAATTGTTAACGTCTCAAAAATAGATTTATGGGATTATTTACAGTCACTTGATCATATTGAAGGTTCCAACTACAACCTTCAGTCTAGTTTGCTGGGATTTTATTTGATAAGTTGTGGAGTGGAAAGAATACAAAGTTTTCAAAGCTTTTCCACAAATCTAAGTTTTATGCACTCGGCACAACTTTAACAACCGTAACAGAATATAATGGTCCAGTGCTAAAGGCTGGTGTTCTGCAACTTTTAGATGTGTTTTTACTTTAAAACACTCCTGAACAACAAAAAAAAAAGCTATTAGCAGGACTCTTTAGAGGGTGACTGCATGCTGAGGAAGTCATTTATCCATCTGAATCAGGTGTGCTGGACTCTAACAATAGCAGAACAGTGCCCCCTGGAGGCCTGGACGCTGAGGCCTCTGGTTTGGGTCAAAACAAAATCATGTTAGATTCTCAGCCACAGATTTTGTTCACAGGTCCGAATCCCAGCAGTGGCTCTACTGGGACATAAGACACTGCTTTCTGTTGGGATGTCCAAGGGCGGGACGATGCGGCTGAAAAACTGATCACAAGGATTTCATATCGGCCGATATCAATAATTATTCATTAGTTTATTGCTTTAAGTGCCTGAAATACTGCCTTTCCTGTTTTAGCCACAGTTTTTTTAATATATCCTATAAATTCTGTTCATTTTGGTTACTTCACATCGCTCCAATTAGCAACAAATATGTGATTGGTCACGGCAAAACCAGGAACAGGTTATTTCTAGATTCTGGAAGGGTGGATTTTAAGGTGGCCAATGATGTCAAACACATAATTTTATTCTTTTTTTTTTTCAAAACAACATTAGAGAGAACAAGTCTCAAAGTTCCAAAAAAGAAATTGTCCCCAAACGTGTCGGGCAATTTAGGGGTGCTAACAAAGGTTGTTAGTTACTCTGCATTAACCCCCCAGCACTGAAAGTCAACAGGTCGACTATGGAAAAGTTTAAGAACCTCAGTAAGTTAAGGTCTCACATTCCTCCCTCTCTGTTCCTCCAGGTCCAGGTGTTGCTCTACTACCTGCAGCATCCTCCGATCTCCTTCGCCGAACTGAAGCGCAACACGCTCTACTTCTCCACTGACGTCTAAAAAAAAAAAATGGCCGCCACCCCGCCGGGGGCTTCACCCGGTCCGCGAGGGTGACACAGAGCGACTCCATCCAGACCTCGGACCCCACCACCCAGCGCTCCGGCCGAGGCTCTGCTCCCAGCAGGCCGCTCGTCTCTGCTGCCGTCCCTCGCTTCTCCCAGCTGAAGAGGAAGTCGAAACGCTTTCTGGCTTCAGAGAACGCTCAGCGGCAGCAACGCGACCAGCCTCTGTGGGAGCACGTCGGGAAATGTTCGGACGGGTGTCTGGGGTCGGGGGCGGGGCAGAGACCACAGCCTGGTGCAGTGGACAGGACAACATCTGAGTTTATGTTTCCTGATCAGAGGCATTCCAGAAAAACAAAACAAACAAAAAAAATGGCATTTACATGTTTTATAAAAACGTTCCTCATTTGTTTCTATTTCCTTTCTGTTTTTTTCTGGCTTCGTGGCGTGCGTGCGTGCGTGCGTGTGTGTGTGTGCGTAGGATTGTGGATGTTTTCCACTGAGAGCGTGAGTTCGTGTTAAAGGGACTAAACACACTTTCGAGGCGGCTGGAAAGCCATTCCAAGAAGCAGCAAGGATTGTGTCTCTGAGTTTTGGCCAAAATTAGCCCTATTTATTTTGAAAATATATATATAATATTTGTGCCTGTACAGTTTTGTGCAACTAGAGACATTCTCTACAGAGTATGTTGTTTGTTTTTTTTTCTTAATTTTATCCAGGTAGTGATGTTTCTTTGTTTTGTTTTTTGACCGCGTGGGCGGTGAGCCGTTCTGAGAAGATAAGTCTGCCAGTTCAGTTCTGATCACTTTGCAGACAAGCGAGGGCACATGAGGGTCGATGGCAGGGGACCATCAGAAAGAATAGCACCACAAACGGAACAGTTGACTTTTACTTCCTTCCTCTGCTTCTTCTTCTTGCATTTCAAGCCTGTTCCAAGTGTGTTGCTGCACCAGTGTTATCTGTAGGACGATTTTGCGTAGACGCCCTCATTGCATGTTCAGCTTGTGGATGAAACCCGGCCGGGTAACACAAAGGTAGGTCGTCTCTGGGAAGGAGAACGAAGAAATCGAAGCGAAGCCAACCTTTCTGCTATCAAGCCTACATATCTTAAGAAAATGCAAGCACTGCTAAATGAGTAATATTTGATATTTTTAATATAAGAATAAAAAGAAACAAAAACTGTTGTATTTTACTTCCTTTGAGGAGAATTTCAATATGCTGTAGTATTGCGACTAAATGTCCATGTGAACTTTTTCCCTCCTTTTTCTTTTTTAATAAAATTAAAAGAAATATTGAAGCCCTCGCTTTGCGTCTGTTTATGAAAATGATTAATGTAGATCTTCTGGTGGTTTTTGTCACCCTTTATTCTGCAGATTAGTAAACTGGTAATATTAGACAAAGATTGTCAAAGTAAATACAAAAAAAAAAGACTGAAAAAGAAATCAAAACAGACAGTTATTTAATGTCTTTAATAAGACATTAAATAACTGAGATTAAACACAGATTATCAGAAATCACTCGAGAGGCCAGTGCAATCACAAGCACAGTTGTGTCAGAAAGAGCATCCAACACAAAACCTAAGATGCACCAAAAATGTTAATCATCGAGAAGAGGGGGCAAAAACATCTACACAAACATCTAAAAATCTTGCAAATTTGAAAACTGATATTAGGATATAAAACGTTGAGGAGAAATCAGTGACGAGTTTTTCATTGCCAATAATAGCACAGCAGCTATCATTGAGTGTGAAGATGGTAATAAATATTTTTAACAGCTTTAAATGACATCATGCATCAACCTGTTGTGCCAGCAATCACACTGATTGCACCCACTAGTGGACAACATCCGTCATTGCTGACAAAGTAAAAAAAAAAAATAAATAAATAGTAACAGTTTTTTTTTCTAAATTTATGAAAATATATAAACAAAAACATAACAGGTTAGTATTTGGATCCTTTTCTGTGTTGTTGCAAAATGTTCACTCCACTGATCATCCATGAGATCCTCCAGCAGCTGGAGTGAACCTTATAGGCTGGACATGATTTAAAACGTCAGAGCACATAATTCACAAATAAATATACACCCATATTTATGAATACATGCTAAGGCATACATCACTGCTTCCACCAACTGGTTTGGAGGGGAACTGCAAGTTTCAGAGGCGCAATCTACCTTGTAGATGGTGATGGATTTTATTTAAGGGCAGCACTCCAGGGGTCTGAGGATAAATGGCCATTAAATATCTTTACTATGTTTATTTTTGTAAGAATGAGGACAAAGAGCATCTCTGATCTCCTTTAATTCAATTCATAATCGGGAGCACAATGATACTGACAACAACCCAAAGTACCGTCATACTGTACACACTGACTGACAAAGAAAGAGACATGTTTTAGAAAATTCCCAAAGTCAGGAAAATTTTAAATACAATACTTCTGATTGTTAAAATTACTGGGTGATCGAACTGCTATAAAAAACAAAACAACTTTAGTATAAATAATCCTACTTAATTACACCATTGTCAATTTATAGAACGAGCTTGTAACCAAACAGCGGTTTCTTGGCATCAGGACCCGGGCGCCGACGTTTCTCTGCTCACGAGATTCTGTGACTGGGGACGCAGGAACATCCCCCACAAACGATGTTCAGGTCCCAGCAGAGTCCCTGAAGCCAACGTTCATCGACGCTCCTCTCTGTGCCCCGGCTTCCTCGCAGTGACTCCTCATAGGAAGCAAGTTCTTGTCCGTAAAGCCTCTCACCTCATCGCAAGTAATATTCGATGGCGGCAGAGAACGCAGCAAATCCACCACATCCGAGGACTCCGGCTTTGAGACCGGCTGCGCGACGGACAGAAGAAAAGGAGAAATGGTGGAACGGCATAAATCCCAATTTTAGGGTGAAGCCAGCGGAAAAGGAGGAGGTTACCTACCGCGAAAGCCTATGGCTCCTCCTGTCACACAGCCACTGTACACCGCGTTCTTCCAGTCAGATTTTCCTCTGTGCTGCAAAGCAAACAGATGCAAAAACACAGATGGATTTACCTTCGTGGGGACGAGGACTGCGGTTTCCCCTCCAAAGTCATATTTGATAAGCCCCGTTCGTCGGGCTAAAAGCATGTTTTGAAAATAACTTTATAAACTTTAATAACTTAAATAAATTTCCTGATTTAAACAGCCTTTTGAGTAATGTTCAGATTTAACCAGCAGAGGGCGCTCTAACACCTTTCCTCGGAGGTTAAAACGGCAAGATCAATATTTAGATTTATTGGTAAATATGTATCATATTTTTTTTACAACAACAACAATAATAATAATAATAATAATAATAATAATAATAATAATTAAATGACGATACAAAATGTCACAACCGGTCGGACGAAACAGGAAATGACGCCACTCACAGATTCAATGATGCACTCGGTGCAGGAAAACATGGCGCCCACAATAGCAAAGTTCTTGGCGTACGACATGCCCCTCTGGCCCATGTCTTTCAGAACTTCTCGGGCCGTGGGGGTCCTCAGCGGGTCTTTGGGGTCGAAGCCGACATTGGTGTCGATACCGGCCGTGAACACGCCAAAAGCTCCTCCGAGGACAAACCCTGTGGAGAGAGAAACGCTCCACTATCAGACACACTGAAGAACGCTCACACACACACACACACTGATTTTCTCCCATGGCAAAAAAAAGTGACAACCGTAAACCATTTTTTCTGTCAACACGGAGCCTAATTACCGCCGTGTGTGCGGCTGTTTACCTCCCACACAGGCCAGCACCGACTTGAAGGCGCAGCTCTCCATTCCCCTCTCGATCATCTTCTGCTCGTCGCTTTTCGGAGGCACCGGCAGACCCCCCATAACTCCGGGGCTCAGCTCTTTAATGGGCCGCTTCTCCCCGACCAGGTGCTCCAGAACCAGACTGTACTGGATAGTTGGACTGCCCATGCTCGGAACCGAGGAAGCTGGACCCGTGGAGTCTGAGGCAGCGGCATCCGCAGCCCCCGTGGACGCGGCCATGTTTCTCAATGACACTGCTCTATGTAAATTTAGCTGTGAGCTCGTGGGCTGCAGATTCGCCGAATTATTTTCTGAGCGCAAGTTGAGTTTTGGTGGGTAAAATGTTTGTTTAGTTGTAGAAAAAAAAACATGTTGCAGTTTGTCGGAAAGGAAGGAATATTGAGTATGTGAGCAACCGTAAAATAGGTTAGGATTAAAACATAGCTCTTTATAAGATACTTAAAATAAATAAATAAAACTTCACTTTGGCAAATAACATGCTGTTGTGTTTCTGACTCCAGAGTATCAAAGGGAGCCAAATAATCTCAAAGTTTGCCCATATAATACAAAGATAATACCGCATTTCAGAGTCATTGATGCCCAAATTTATTTCCTTTGATAAAAGTTATGCAATAAATAATATAAATTTATATAAAACCCAGTTTTACTTATTTTTCCATTTTGAAGCATTAACGACTACGTTTCCCAGAAACCTCTTCGAGCACTGCGCCAAATCATCCAGCACGCGCTCCACCCACCGGCTCAGGCAGCGGGTGTCGCTTTAACGACTCGCGCGAGCGCGGCGGCAGCAGAGGCAGCATCACGGACCGCAGCTGCAGCTCCGCCGCATTAGCGAACAGGTGAGGAGGAGAAACTCCGCGTTTCTGTCTTTTTCTCATCCTACATTGCACCTTCACTTTCCTCCACTTCACTCGGGCAAAAGCCAAACATTTGAACGTCGCCGCTGTCTTGTGTCGGACGTTGAAGAAGGAGTGAGTTGGACGGGACCGGTGTCGGCTTGGCCGGGGTAACGCCGACGCAGAAGTGACTGTCGACGGTTGTTTCCAGTGTTAGTGAGAGTACTTTGGGGTTTTGACGGTCATTTTGCAGGTGACGTGGTTTCTCCTGCTTTATATAGAACTGTAGAGTCAAAGGGCATGTTGTTTCCCGGGTAATTGGACCTGGAACTTGCTGTATTCTTGGACAGGTGATGCAGGATGTTGGAAGTCTGCAGGATGCTTCAGAAAATTTAGTGAATTTCACAGCTCCGGCGGGGCTTGTGTGCTCAACAGGGTTCCTGCCCGATCAATACATCCCATCTGCACCTCAAACATCTGCTGTCATTGTTATCCTGCAATGTCAAGAGACAGAAACCTGATAAACTAATGTTTCTCTAGCTGGTTTTGTATTCTCCCTACTTGTGTATTTTCGTACTTAGTCTTTTGTTGACTTGCTTCATGTTTCAGATCAATATCCTTCTGAACGATCCAGTAACCCATTTTCAATTTACTGGAGGGTCACCAGGCATCTATTTATAATGGCCCAGTATTTTAAGAACTCCAAGCCCAAAGTATGCTTGATGATTCTCCACCATCGTTATCAGAGGCTATGTGATGCTTCTCCACATTTTCATCATGTTTGCCAGGCCAAACCATTTTTGAATGCTCGATATTTGAGACCCGCACGTAAATAAATGCCTTTTTATTTATTGCATCATGTTTAAATACAGTTAAAACTGAGCTAAACTATTGTAAATTGCAAAAAGTAAACCTTCAATACTGATCATATCCAAAAAGTTAGGCAAAGGCCAAGATTTAAAAGGTGAAAAGTTAGTTTAGACATAAAAGAAGTGACAAAGTGAGGATATATCACATATAGGAGGAGGTGTTTAGACAGATATGTTACAGAAGGTGAATCTTGTTGTGATGAGATAAAAAGAAACAACTTGTTAAAATTAGATTAATATTTAATTAAAATCAAAATGTGTTTTTGTTTTATTGAGAAAGTCATAACAGAACAGCAACACTTAAGTGTCATCTGGAAGAAACAAGAGTGAGAAGATGGAGAGATTATTTATGCATTTTTAATAAGTCACAATCTGTCAATGAAAAGTATTTTTATATCTCTTTAAAAAGAGAAATCTTAATGTTTTTGTTTCTCGTTAAAACAAGATACAACTCCAGAATTTATTTCCTTGCTCTGGCAGTTTAACGCTTCTCTACGTAAACATGTCCAGCACTGTATATGCATATTTTTTCCAGTTGCTATTTAAATAGTCATATTTACAACAGAGGGAGTAGCTTTAAGTTTAAGCTCTTTTATGTTGATTTAGAAATCTTGTCTCTGCAGATTTCATAAACCTTAGACAGAGGTGCAGTTGGGAGCTGCTGTTAAAAATATTTAAATAGATTCGTTGTGAGAATTAAAATGTTTTGAAATATATTAACTCCATTAGTTTTTCTCCTGGTGCTGTTTAAAAATGTCGACACATTGAATAAATGTCCAAAAAGAAAATGAGCCGGAGTAGAAGCTTAAATTTGGTGTAAATCGTTGGTTCTGGTGCCAAGTTGTGTCCGGACCACCTTTGGGAGCATCATGCTGTTCTTCCCGGCGTGATCAGCCAACCATTTGTTTCTCATTAGATCATTACCTTTGTAGTTGAACAAGCCACTGTTGCGTTTAGTGCAGCAGTTTCTGAAAGGTTGCAGTTTCTGTCTTTAATTGGCCCTTCAAGACAGTCTGTCCTGACCAAGTTCTGTGTGACTCAACTGCCACGTAAACAGATGCATCATTGTTGTTTTCTTCATAATGCATTTAAAATAACTATGAACGATACTTGTATCTGAAAGTGGGAACAAAGAAAGTTTGAATTTGAGAATTTATGTTTTAGAAGAACTCTACATCCATCTTAGGTGGCACCAGTTGGAGAGATGTGGGCAATGGATCACAACGTTCCCTGTTTTCTGTTGCTTTTTGCAGAAAAGATGAGAGGATTCTAATATAAGGACTTTACCATTTCTTTAGGAGGCTTCCATTGCACATTTTCTTTATAGTAGACCATTAAAGGGATGGTATTATGCATTGTTTGAGCTTTATATTATTTTTTGATCTTACCTTGATTATTATATGCAAGTTTGAGAAATCCTTTACTCTCCCATGGCAGCCAGCTGTGCAAAACGCCTGGTTGGACCTAGCTCCGCCTTTGAGGAGCAGCTCTTCCTCAGAGGTGTGGTTTCCAAGCTTCAAAGCTTCCGCCTCACAGAGGAACCGTCCCCCACGAAACACGCACTCAGATCCTTCAAACTAGCCAGCAGCGATTAGCAAACACCTGGACGAGCTGCGCAGCTGCTGAGCTCGTTATATGAGCTACTTCTTAGGTAAAAACATTGTTAAAGGGTTAATAGAGGATGTTGTGATGACTTCCTGAAGGTGGAGTATTAGAAAGACCAGGAGTTTTTAAAGAGACAGAGACCTGTTTTCAAGGTGTTAAATTAAAAAGCCAATTTTCTAAAGGAAAATAGAACTATATATATGTATATAACAGCTGTAGGTCATCTAGTTACCTTCAGTTGCTAAAATGGCACTATGTGTCTGGGAAACGCATAATAAAAGACTCTGCTTTTACTCATGGTTAATTTGGGACTCTGTCTGCAGGATCCAGGCTGTTTTCAGGACAGGCTGTTCTTCTAAAAAGCCGCAGGAAGTACAAGTCATATGGCAGTCTGAGCAAAGTCAAAACATCCGATTTTGTGTTTGCTCATTTGTTAATGTAGCCGTTTCCTCAATTTGACTTGGACTGGATCTGTTCAGCAACCAAAAGTAAAGATATTGGACTAAGAACTGCAGCATCTACGATCTGGTAATCGATAGAATTTTCTTAATTGAGCTAGTTAGTTAGTTAGTTAGTTAGTTATGAATGTCCAACAACAAGAAGCTGTGAGTTTCTCAGCGACTCCTCTCATCTTCCGTTCAAGTCATTATCCAAGCAGTTCCTGTCACTACTGTGCTATTTATAGCCAGGGGTTGTGTGGCGAACGCACACATCCAGCCGTGTGTTGGAGAAACTGTCCTTTTATTACCCAGAAAATGTTATCTCATGATCTCCTTGACTGCTCTGCTTAGTGGGAGGAATTCGAGCCTGTGTGAATGTGAGATGCTGAGAGGGGAATCCAAGGTCCTCGTCTCTGAGAAATATCTCCCACCAGCACCGGTGTCTTGGAAAAGGCTCACATTGACGGCGCTGTGGAGGGACGAATTGGCTCAGGACGGGTAACTACATTTGCAGTGACCTTGTCTATCTGGTGAAATAGAAGATGCTACAGTGGTGTGCTTCTCTGTTCAGAAACGCCAAATTACTTCTGTGGGAAAACACTCCCACAGAAGTAATGGATTACTGACTTAGTTTAACACTTAGGACATTAATCTATCTCACATTGGCAAACATTCAACTGCCCTGATACTGAAGTGAAAGATTATTATCCTAGATGAACCAATAATGCCGGATCCATTGCCGACATGTTGAACCGGGTTCCGACCAAAACCGAACTGTCGCTTGCATGCTGAATGACATGAGAGGTGGAAAGAGTAGCAGCGCATCAACCTAGAAGCACATCCACATGTCAGGAACTGGAATGATCCAGTTCCTGATCATAAATCCAACTTAGAATCTGTTGCAAGACTTTGCAAAGTTGAATCCGCAAAGTTGCTAGACATTACCCAAAAGACTAGTTGCAGGGACCGGTGGTTCTACAAATTACTAATTAAAGAATATAAATACATGCCATCTTTTACAAATTGTCCAAAATGTAGAAACCCATCTGTGTATTACTTTGTGTTGATCCTTCACTTTATGTTTCATGAAAAAACTTAGAAGTTTGTGGTTTTAACCTGACAACATGTATACAGATTCAAGACACACGACTGTTTTTGCTAAGGGCTTGTATTTTGTTTTCTCATGTAAGATAGGTCTTCCTTACCAACTGGTGATGGTATGGCAGTATAATAACCATAAAATACTTCCTACAGACCTTTGTTACCCCAAACACCTCATGCAACCTGTTTTCATTTAGCAGCAGTTGACAAATACATCAACCAGGCCAGAGAAGAAGGACTGGACTCAACAGAATAGTGTTTTCAGAAAACAGACTTTGCAGCTGCTGAAACATAATGATCCTATACTCAACATTTTTATTACGCTTGTTATCATTTTGCTATAGGACACATCGCAAACCATCACCTTAATTAATA